TCATAATGCACTGGGATCGATGCGTGAGCGGAAGTGACAAAAATGCGGAAGAATGATATGCAGTTTTCACAAAAGTCCTGGAGCTTAAAGTCAGGGATATCTTTTTGCAGGTAACACGTAAAAATAATACACATTTGTCATTTACTTACACTACCGACATTGTAACGATACAAAACGGGTTGAAAATTGGTGAACTTTCCCTTTAAAGGTGGATTCAGTAGTTTGGTCCTAATTAAATTTTTTTAAACATTATTAATTTGTAGAAAAAGGTATGAAAACATAAGACAGAGAACATGACAAAGACAAAAAAAAAAACTATGTGTAACGAAAAACTGAGCAGTGATGCCCAAGTTGCTTCTTGTTTTGTTCAACAGGTAAAGGAATTCATTATTGTGTAGACCGCTCTTCAAAACTCGCTAATATCAATGTAATTTAAAACTTAGCTCAAACATGCTGATCTATATTCTCTGCTGTATTCTCTTTCACTCACCCTGTGAAATGTTAAATCTTTTAAGCTTCAAAAGTAAGTGAAAGCACGTAATAAAATGGTCTTTGTGACTCGTGCATCAAGTCTTTTTTTAGTCATATAACTTTTTGTGACCAACAGAGGCACATTTAATCATTATTAGTTATTTACTGACAATATTCTCTTCCAATGGGATAGTAGCCATTTCAGCCAAATTTGAGACACAGAACAATTGGGTCATGAAAACCAAATCAGCCCAGTTCATGAGTCAGTTCACTGAAAAGGCTCCAAATAATGATTCATTCATAAATTGATCATGGTTACTTCTCGCTAGTTTGGATGTTAAAATGTTCTGTTTATAGCCATTCACTCTATTACTCACAGTCGCATGGACCATGTTTGAAGCCCAGCCCAAGTCCTCAATGCAGAATGACACAGTTTTCAATTTTGAGTGAACTATTCCTTTAATGTAATAATGCTTATATTGTTCATACCTGTAGTGTGCTCACATCTCTCTTGTATTAGGCCATACAGGGTGAAAATACTGAATATTGCCAGACAGAAGAGAATAGTGTACCACTCCATCTCAGTGAAGGGCGAGGCCATCTGCTTCAGCTGAACGAACAAACACAAACTCGCTGAAAACAAAATCAGGGCATCACTGATACTTCAGCACCACTGCTGCAGAAATACTGTAGCAACACTGGCACATTATCAAAATAACACAACTGACACATCTTCATCATCTGAGCTTCGAAATGAGCAACACTGCCAGAACAAAACACTCCAGCACCTGTGCAAATGTTTGGATCACGACAACACACGAACTCACATATTTAGCTAAAAAACCAATTACTCACATGTACTATCGCACAAACGAGCATCCACTTTGAAGTCTTTGGCGCTGTACATTATTTTTTATTAGACTGTGCGTGTGCATCTGTTTGTATACAGGCGATACTGTAATATGATGAGGGGGTAACCACAATGAGTAGCTCATATTGCATGGTGAGAATAACTAGCGATGCTTCTACCCTGGATACCAGACACAAAACACAAGTAGAGGCAAAACTCAGTCATGATCATGCAATCCCAGCCTGACTGTCCCTTATTGAAATAGTAGGACATTCTAGGATGATCCTGCTGTGGGTATATATGTTGTATGTTCATGGAGATTGTCTCAGCATGCTCAATTATTCCTGCCCAGACTGGACATGAAAATCAATTTGGTCTATAAATAATTTTATGCCACAGTTGAAATGTTTTTCTATGTCCTTCAGTACCAGTAGGGTCAGAAATGAATGAAAATGTGGATATACACTGTGGATTTTCCCTGAAACATAGTATAAATAAATTTAGTAAATAGTTTGACTAATTTAACCCATAACTCACGTAACAGCTTCTTTCATAAAAATTTCAAATCCACCTTCAATATTTTGGTTAAATAATTAAATAAATGCTTTACAATTTGTATACATTTTTACCCCCGTTACTCACTACTTACTTTTCTCATAAAAACTCCAAGTCCACCTGCCATATTTTGGATAAATAAATATTTAAACCTTTTGTTCCTTTTAGACTAGTAATTTAGCAGTTACTTTATTTAATGGAACACGATTTAACAAAAATGACCATTTTATAAGGTTCTTATTTTTCATCTTTTGCAAACAGTATAAAAAAGGCCACTTGTCTCAAATAAATATGCTTGACTAATCAAGTTGACACCACAAGAATTTCCTTATGTTGGTTAATACTGGTTTTTGCTGGGTGGTCAGTTTAGGTGCTAGCTGACCAGCTTGATCTTGTAATAGTGTAAATAATCACAGTGGAGATTTTAGGTGTTTTTTGTCTCTCACCAGTTTACTATTATTATTATTATAACCCATATTGATTCCTTCCAACATATTCCTCTTAATATCTGTGGTTGCAATATTTGCGTTGCATATGTGTCTATATGTACAGATCTGTTATCAGTTAGCCATTTTTCTTATATTCGGTGGCCTGTGTCTACTAATCCCACTTGCACTCTTTTCATAAATGATCACCAGGCAGTGTAATTTATTATACTGTTATTAATTTATTATATATATATATATCATTATTTATTAAAGTTCTGAATCTTCTATCAAAATATCTATATTCTCATTGTTTTTGTTTTAGACTACTGCAATTGCGGTCAGGCTGAATGCAAATATTTGCAAGACATTAATTTAAGGTACCTGTAGATATGAGCTTTTGTGGTAAAAACCTTCAGATGCCTGAGAACTGATTATGTGTGCTTGTTCTACCTAGAAGTTTATAGAGTTAAAATGAGCACACATAGGCTGTTATCTTACACAGGGGTGCACAGTCCTTGCTCTCACTCCTGCCTGTAACTTTCAGTTGAACCTGAAAAACCTTGATTAAGTTCCCAGGAGAGCGACTGATCACCCCTGATTTAGAACCTGAAAATAGTTAGGATAATTTACCAGAATTTCTCTCCTTCTATCATATTGTATGTTCATTAGAAGTATGTTGTCATCGGTGCAGAAAAAAAACAAGAACATTTTGGATTACCAAAAGTAGCATTTTTTAAAATAAGTGATAAAATAGTTTTCTCTTTCACAGAATTCACATGCCCTTGACGTCTTTTGAATATTTTTATGGATTATTTAATGGGTTTTTCCACTTTCATTTTTACTCTTTGTATCTCACCAAACAGTCAGTTTAGGTGTATTCGATATCAACCGCGGCCAGCATTGACAGGGCTGCAGTTGGAGGCAGCAATCAAACTGAACGCAAGTTCACTTTTAGTTATTTTATAGTTATTTTTCATAACTATACCAAGCACAACCAAATCCAACCCTTAGCTGGATTAATGTGTCTGATCTCGAACCTTGCATGTTCCAGATCTTGAAAAAATAAAATTCTGAGACATCTTTTGTTTTTAAGAGCCCCTTGAGGGCCTTCAACGTAAAAAAAAACACAATCGCAATCAGACATAAGTGGTCAGCCTTGAGGGATGATGAGAAAGAGAGAAAAGGAATGCTTACATGTTAATTTGTTTGTAATTATGTGCATTTTACAAGCAGGGAAACAGAGAGACCATGTGAAAGAGAAATGGCTCTCTCCTATGTGCAATGCATGAAAATTAGTTCTACATCTTAAACTAAATTAATTCATGTTTTTTTTTTTGTAATCACTAGATTTTTTAAATTAAATAATATTATATAATATAGTCAATTTTACATTCTCTATGTAGTCTCTCTCTAAAAAAACCCCCATGTAATTAGAAACAAACTGCACTACAAAAATATTATTTTTTACTGTTTTCTGATTATTTTCCTGTTTTCCAGTCCAAACATCTAAACATTATTAAATCAAGATACATTTACTTTTTTAATTAATTTTAAATTCTTTAGTAATTTTCCTTTTCGAGTAAATGTATCATGATATCTAAGACTGTTTAGATGTTTGTACTAGAAAACAAGACAAAAATACTAAGTAAGATAAATATTTTTCAGTGTGACATAAAGGAACTGAATTAATTTTTTATCATCAAAATGCAATTTTAGGTTTATGTAAATGAGTGAAACTATTTCTTGAATCTTACAGCATCTCTTCTTCTAAGTATGATAGTATTTTTAAATCCACATTCAATTAAGCACTACCAATGGGCTTTTGTGCTATAATTATGTATTTTACAGGCTCCTTTATTTGATTTATGAGTTGGTAATCAGATGTGAGTAGTCGGGTTAAGAGATTTCATCCTGTGTATTTGTAAAGCTTGGGTTAATATTCTTATTTGCATATGTATGAGTCAATATGATTGGACATTAATAGTGTGTAAAAATGAATGTGACCTGTTTTACATAGACACTAGAAGTTACATACTTTCACACACTTGTGTGCATTTATGTTTATCATGATGACCTACACACCCTTTTTATCTACAGGGTTATACTTAAAGATGTGCTTTTATACAAATGTAAATTGTTCCTATTTATGTATGGATTTTTAAATAATTTGTTCTTTTATTTCAAAGGATGTGTTGGACCGGATATTTAGGGAGAAACAACAAACAAGTGTTCAGCATACATAGGAACTCTTTCAATACTGTTCAGAAAGCATCCCAGCATGCACCTCTTGGAGTTGGAGTGGTAATTTAAACAAAGGGTGGTGACCTTGAAAAAGCAAATTCATAAGGTAGTTCAAAAATCGTTCGTCCTCTACCTCTGCCATACTTAGGAATTACTATTATTATAAATGTGGAAAATTTTAATTATGAAGAAAGAGTAAGTGTGTCCAAAATGTTGAATACACACATACATACAGTATGCACATACATGCTGAGAAAGAGTAGCTCTCCTCAACTGTTTGTATAAATGAAACATTTAACATCAACTGTTATGAGCTAGTTTGTTCTCTCCAGTGTTCGTGTGTGTGTGTGTGTGTGTGTTCCAGTAGCCGAGGTTGTGTGCAGCCCCTGGGGTTGTAAGCTGATTAGCTGGCTGCTCCATCCCACGCTGCTCCTGGAGGGAGGAGATTTGGAGCTAAAATAACCCCTAAGTCCTCTCAGCAACATGTTTACAGGTCAGGTTAACAGACGCGCACACACGTATCTACAAAAAACGGAGGCATCACTGCAGCTCTCAGGTAGAGTAGAATTTAAATGAGCTCTTTCTCCCTTTCACAGATCACACAGGTGGAACGAGAGAGGTTGGCTTCAGCTTTTTTTTGGGATGTGACGACCAGCTCTCCGGATGTTTCTCTGTTGCAGCTGAAGTCTAAGATCTCACCCAGGATACTTAACCTGATTTTATGCATGTGTCTGTAGGAGTGTGTGTACCAACTCTGGAGCGGGTCGTATTCTTTGTTTCCATGCCGACCCTCAGGATGGCGTGAGTCCGTTGTCTTTGGTGGGCTGAAGGCAGCGAGGTATCCCGCAGTCCTGAACACTGCTAGCATGCCTGTGCATCAGATATCGGTTGTGCCCATCACCAAAGAGACCGCCAACAGCTCCAGCCGGAATAGAGACAAGAGTAAAGAGAATGAGGCAAGTACAGACATTTAACACAGAGAATCTGTGATGTGTGTGGAGTTTTCATAACAAATACCATAGTTTGTTGTTGATGATAAAGATGTAGCCATCCATGGTTTTCCATATGGTTACTGTAGTCTGTTAGTATTTTGATGGCTTCTGTGGAACAATAGAACATTTTCAATATAGATATTGTTGCACAAGTCCTAAGTTGTGAGGATTGTCCTATAATAAGATTTCTTCGTTTGCATAAATCTGTAAGATTTACCGTAAGTGCCAAAGCAAGCAAATCCTTCTGCTTTAATTTTCAGAAGTAAGGATAAAGAATGACTCAATCTCATGTAAACAGAAATATAGCCTAGAGCAGGAGCTGGAAGGTGTTGTATTGGAAGAGAAATTGCTGCTATAAATAGAACTGTAAGGCAGTGCTACATATATTTCAGCCTCTTCAGGGTCATTGGCATTTCTTTCAAGTATATTGTAAATCAAATACAATGCTTTTCCATCAAATCGCTGTAGCATGTTTGCAGTTCAGTTTGTTTCAGCGGTGTGAATGTTTGTAATATCCAGGACATTTTTTTTTGAATGCGTGAGCATTATTGTTAGGCTCAGATGGCACATCTACAGTCTGTTTGCTGACCGCTTGATGCATATCATACACAAACATGGCTCCACATAATCTCTGGATTTGCCAAATATTTTCATGTTTGTGGCATCAAATCTGAAATATATTTAGAGTTTTGTTTTAGACACTTTGTAGTACCATGAGCATAACTGAATATGACTATGTCTGTGAAATAATCTGCATTTATCACTTTTGGATTGATAGAAATTATGAATATTATCCAGAATTGTCAAAAAAAATACTTTGAGGTGTTTTCTGCATCTGATTGGCGACTGGCACTGCTGGGCAATTATTTAATGCTTTTTTTCCACAGTGATCTGTATTGTGATTTTAGATATACTTGCCCCTTAAATGGTATGAAAACACTTGTTCAGTGTTATGTGTAGATGTCTGGCTAAGCAAAGCTACCTTTAGTATGTTTTGGCTGACCACGCCCCACAGGAAGTTTAAAATCATGTGTCTTTGAATAATTTAGATTTGCATGTCCCGAATGAAATATCATCCCTGAATTTGGGCAAAATTTAATAAAGGGCTCCCTTACAATTCATTAGTATGCATTTATATTGAATTGACCACACCCTACAGGAAGTTAAATTGGAATTAAAGGACTAGAATTCACTGAATTATAATTCAGAAATTCAAACATACCATTCATTGCAAGTTCAGATGTGCATGGACACTTAATAAATATTAAGACTTTTAAAATATTTTAAACTTTAAGTGAAGGCTTTGTGAAGTCATCATTCAAAGTTCATTTCAAAGTCTTGACTAACCTCCCTTTTCTAGGTAAAAATGACACTTATTGCAGTTATTCAAATTCAGGGATTGAACTGCAATATAAAAAGCATTCTCAGTTATGGATGCAATAAAAAAAAAAGAGGAATCACTAAATTTCTTCAAAGAATGGCTGAAATTATATGCAAAACAAAATATGAATGGATGGCATTTGAAAGTGTATTTTGAGCTGTTCAGACTCTCCAGAAAATTGTAGAGAAGAAAGAAAAGCTAGAAGTTTAAGAAAGAAAATATGTGTGGTGTTTTGTGCAAAAGTTACCACCATGCTGGTGTGTTGCTAGGCGGTTGCTAAGGTGTTATGGTTTTTATGTCATTGCAATAAAGTCGATATAGTGTTCTGGGTGGTTGTTTACCATCCCTAAGGCAAAAGAGCAAGTGTCTGTGATATTCTGGCCACTAAATATGACTCAGTTTCCTGCTTCAATATACAGTAAGTCTATGAAATTGTTTTAAACCCGTTTTACAACCGGCAGGCAGAAATCATAACAAAAGTAACAGCACACCTCTCTTCATCATTATGCAGTTTTCATCTATCATTCATGTCAGTAGCACAAACAGTTATGTGATGAATCGAATGCTTAATGTTAGGGGTTTGTTCAAATCCTTAACCCTAAACATAAGTGAAAGTCACAGTGAAGGCAGCCTGTGATAATGATGCCTTGCAGGCACTTTAACACTAGAACTGAGTGCTGAGCAAGCACTTCAGTTATTATTGTCTTTATGATATGGTCTTATTTAGCAATATGGAGACTCTGATACTCTGTTGCATTTACTGTAGGTGTATTTGTTTGTGTGTGTTGTGTGGATGTTCTATTTCTGTGAATTAGCGGGAGTCTAATCCACTGCACTCTCTGCTGGAGCTGTCTGCTTCCATCACTCACTAACACACATACTCAAAATATAAGTCTATGAAATTGTTTTAAACCCGTTTTACAACCGGCAGGCAGAAATCATAACAAAAGTAACAGCACACCTCTCTTCATCATTATGCAGTTTTCATCTATCATTCATGTCAGTAGCACAAACAGTTATGTGATGAATCGAATGCTTAATGTTAGGGGTTTGTTCAAATCCTTAACCCTAAACATAAGTGAAAGTCACAGTGAAGGCAGCCTGTGATAATGATGCCTTGCAGGCACTTTAACACTAGAACTGAGTGCTGAGCAAGCACTTCAGTTATTATTGTCTTTATGATATGGTCTTATTTAGCAATATGGAGACTCTGATACTCTGTTGCATTTACTGTAGGTGTATTTGTTTGTGTGTGTTGTGTGGATGTTCTATTTCTGTGAATTAGCGGGAGTCTAATCCACTGCACTCTCTGCTGGAGCTGTCTGCTTCCATCACTCACTAACACACATACTCAAACACATATGCACATTCACTTGGCACCATGATGGGTACTAAATGGGCTCCCTTGGAGGATTGTCCTGACCTTTGATCTTTAAAACTGGATGCCGCATAGTTAGAGACACCAACAAAATTTGAAGTGTCTACTAGTTATTATAAAGTACATTACTCGTCAAAATTTAGGGGTTGTAAGATTTGGTTCTGCTTTTGAAAGAAGTCTCTGCTGACCAAGGCTTTATTTATTTAATGAAGAATACAGTAAAACAGTGATATTGTGAAAAATTATTACAATATGACGATAGCTTTGCCATCACAGGAATAAATTACGTTCGGAAATATATTCAATTAGTATAGTAAAATAAGTATGACTTTTACAATATTCACAATGTTTTAACTGAATTTTTAAACAAATAAATGCAGCCTCGGTGAGCATAAGAGAATTCTTTTAAAAACATTAAAAACTCATAAATGATTTCAAACCTTCACTGGTAGAATATTACTGAACTGAAGCAGTTTTGTTGAAAGGTATGGTGAAAAATACCTTTATTTTCTGCCATATGAATATGTCAGTGTTATTAAATCATGTCTTTTTTCCACCTTAAATGGCATGTTCAACAAAGATGTTATAACATTGAATATATATATATATATATATATATATACACAGTATATTTATAATGTATGTACAGTATATATATTGTAGATCCTAATATAAGAGGGAGTGTGAATATGGCTGTTCTGTTTAGTGTTCTCACACACCTTTTAGAGCTTATGAAAATGGAAATTACTCAGTAGCTGCTATTCTGGAGAAACTACCTGTTAAAATTCTTGTGAAATTACTATCGGTTTATAACTCTGTCCTTCTATTTATCATTTTCATGGCCAGAACACTGTCAGTGTTGCTTGTTTTGTGTGTTAGAAATGTATTGTATAACTTCGAACAGGTGTGTATCTGACGCTCTTGCAGATGCGTAGATTGATGAGTGCATATGCATAACAAAACACACAATTATGGAGTTGTTTATTGGAGTGTCTTGAACAAGTCTTTACAGTCTTCTTGTTAACCGTTCCAAAATACTGTACCAGCAAAATATAGTATCTGTGCTACTATCTATGGGTAGACGTTTGAGATTCCGTGTGAGTAGTAGTTTGTGACCTGGTGTATCCCATCAGCACATTATCCCATGATGCACCTGTGACTATAGTTAGCTTTTGAATGGCAGTCAGGGCTTTAATCTTGGTCGGTGATTGGCTGCAGGCACACTGTCACAACACAAACCACAAGGGATGGTCACCATTGTATGTGCACCTGCATACGTAAGTGTGTATGGATCCAACACTGACAGGTTTATGTATAAAATAACAGCTGTTCTGAATCAGAATCATAAGTCTAGACTCTTGTAATTGTACTAGGCTGAACTCCAGATGGCAGAGCTAGAAAACGCTACCTCAGACAAAGATATGAGTAGGATCTTACGCAGAAACTGTGTGAAGCCAATCCCTGTGTATCTAAATGAATGCACGACCAGAGATAGACCAACCGCTCACAGATTATACCTCAGAGAAGCATCTAGAGCTAATCTAACGCTGCCTAGCACATAAACATGCATGTGTGCTCTTACATCGGCCTTTGGAGCAAGCAGAGGTGCTCTGCAGATTGGTAGCTCATTAAACATACAGGAGTGAATTTATGGGTAAGTGAATGTCAGTTTGGATGATTCTGGTTGTATTAGTCTGCATTGTTGTTTTGTGATTTGTGCATGTAATGCAGATGAGATTTTAGAGATGAAAGACCTTATAGTACTTAATAATACCTAATAATACACACTAGGGGAATAATGATAACAGTATTATAGCATAGCTTTCAATTATCTTGTCAGTTAAACTGGTTTGGGGTAGGTAATGTGTCTGAAATTTTAAATCCATTTGTTTGGGGTCAATATATATATTCAAAACAGCAGCATATATTTGAATCAGAAATCTTTTGTAGCAAATGTCTTTGTCACTTTTTATCAAAGAATCCTGAAAAAAAATCATGAAATATTCACAGAAATATTAAGCAGTATAACTGATTTCAACATTGATAATAATCAGAAATGTCTTTTGAGCAGCAAATGAGCATATTAGAATGATTTCTGAAGGATCGTGTGACTGAAGACTGGAGTAGTGATGCTGTTTTTGCTGTATTTTTGTTCAAATAAATGAAGCATTGATGAGCATAAGCGAGTCTGACCCCAAACCTGGTAGTATATGAAATGTCAACTGGTTGACCATTTATATTGATGACAAATAAAAACTACTCTAATAAACCTATCCTATTAAATTGGGACAATAAGGCATTAAGGTATTATAAACATTGAATTGATACATTTCTGCAAAGCTGCCCTGAAACAATGTGTATTGTTAAAAGAGCTATACAAGTAAAATTAAATTGAAATTGAACTTCCTTCCATAGAATGCACTGTGTCTGTATGCAGTATATGCTCTGTATTAGAGGTATTATGCTGACTAATAAAAGTAAATCATAAATTAAGTGTTACTACTTAAAATAAATGTTTTCTATTTTTATATATTTTAAAGTGTAGTTTATTCCTGTGATGCAAAGATTAATTTTCAGCATCATTACTCCAGTCTTCAGTGTCACATGATCCTAATATGCTGATTTGCTGCTAATATTAATATTAAAAAAATATTTCTTAAAAAAAAAAAAGCCTTGCTGACCTCAAACCCTATAAAAAAAAGTAAATTAAATAAAAAACAAAACGTATTACTAGTACCCAATTCATGGAAAGTACCAGCAGTATTTGCTTATCTGTTAATCAGAATTACTTTTTGTTTATTTTAAGCTGTCGTTTTGGTTGTATTGATATAACACATGCCTTTCCATTTAAATTTGACAATTCTGAGAGACAAACAATACTAATGACCAATGAACCTTGATCTTAGAACATTGACTTGATCTTTGACCCTAACTAGCATTAAGGGTCAAGGCTAAAAATATTTGTCTAGGGCTTTCTATGTGCCAGAAACTAGACCTTGGTCTTTATAGGGATTTTAGAATGTATAGTAGATTCATTCTGGTCAGCATTTACTGTGACCTGGATTCTGTAAATTATTCAGTTTCCAGATAGGAAAGTTTTAGGAGAAAGGAGTGCTTCGGTGATAGGTGGGGTTAGGTTTGTTCTCAGATGTTAAAGCAATAGTACAGTATTGTAGTGAGAGGATATGAACTATCAGAAACCTGATATGACTATATTAATGCTCCCTTTTTCAAAGCCTTCATTGAGATTTATATTAAGCTACATTTGTTTAATAGAGCTCTGTAATAAACAACCATATATATGCTATTTTGAATGCAACAGAAAATCTGTAATTTGTGACGTCAAACAGTCAAGAGAAATGTGATGCTATTTATAAATGAGAAGACTGCATCGATAATGAGAAAATATCAATAACCAGCATTTACTGTGACCTGGATTCTGTAAATTATTCAGTTTCCAGATAGGAAAGTTTTAGGAGAAAGGAGTGCTTTGGTGATAGGTGGGGTTAGGTTTGTTCTCAGATGTTAAAGCAATAGTACAGTATTATAGTGAGAGGATATGAACTATCAGAAACCTGATATGACTATATTAATGCTCCCTTTTTCAAAGCCTTCATTGAGATTTATATTAAGCTACATTTGTTTAATAGAGCTCTGTAATAAACAACCATATATATGCTATTTTGAATGCAACAGAAAATCTGTAATTTGTGACGTCAAACAGTCAAGAGAAATGTGATGCTATTTATAAATGAGAAGACTGCATCGATAATGAGAAAATATCAATAAGAAGGTCATTTTATATGTGTTGTCGGAGTATATAAATTCTAGACTAGAGGAATGAGCACTATTTTTCCAGCGAGGAAGTCATGTTATCATTCAGTACAGAAGCTGTGAAGACTGGAAGGCTTTTATGTAGAAAGTGAATCCATTAAGTGCATTACACACCATAGCAAGTGTCTTGAATCTAATTCTAAAGCCTGTGGAAAGCATCCAGGGGAGTAATTTTATTTGCTCAGATGTTGCTCCTCAATAGCAACACTCATGGAGTTTTTAGTTGTTTCATTCAAGTATCAGCGTTATTTCAGATGGTTCTCCAAAAATGTCTTGGGAAAAATAAAAACAGACACATATAAGAGACAACTGTTGATGGTGTGGCAATATAGAACTGTAAAATGAATGTGAATTTGATGAGAAATATTTGTGTTGGTGTTGAAATCTCTGACTTTCACACACAGACTTCGGTTTCTTGGCAAACTGAGCAAAGTTTGAGATTTCTGAGGAGACAGAAGTTCTTCTTCTCAGGACTCAGAACTCTCCATTTGCTCTCAGTCTCATTTAGGCGAAACAATCAGGATATTAAAGAGAACTCATCTTTGATTTTCTGTGTGAGGAAAACCACATTTGGTTGAGTGGTGCGACTGTATTTCATGTGAGCGCAAACATGATTATCATGTGGTTCTGAATACTGATGTCAAACAATCATAAAACATGTTTAGAATAATATAATTTTCTCTCAGAGGATGCAGTCGCACCTGCATGCTGGCTAAAAGATACACTGCGGGTGTGTAAAATATTTATGAGCTGATCAGATGTTGGTGTCTGTTGGCTTTCGCATTAATAATTCAGAGCAATATATAGTGTCGCTTCAGGAGAGAGAGAACAGAGTTCAATACTAACAGCAGCTAAACAACATATACATTTTTTTGTAAATATATTTATAAACTAATTATTGTAACTTTTTCACTTAATAACAAATCAGTTAGGTCTACTGATAAAATAAAAAAAAAAACACTTTTGAAGTTGATGTTGTAGTTAACATCATGATAGTCTGACTTGTTTTTCTGTATAAGCCTGATATGCAAAATAATCATATTTGTGCACTTGCAACACCTTACACGCACTATCACTGATAGTGATCCCCAGAGGATCATTTGTGTGTGTGCTTTTGTATGTTAGCTTGAAGGAAAGATAGTTAAGTTAATAATGGATCAGGTGTGGACCAGAGAGAAAGGTGGACCCACCAAAAGGCCAGGAGGAATCAGCTCTGCCTGAGGCACATGAAGGCAATAAATGCTAATACAGATCGGTTTCACAAAAGCCTGGCAAAAAAAAGTATTCAGCATTTTTAAAAACAACAATCAAAGGTCAACCATTCCCTTTTGTGCCATTTGTATTTAATATTGATTTTGAACTTATTGTAGCTAAACCAGAACTGTGTAGAAGAAAGCACTTTGTTTACACACTATACGGTTCAAATATCAGTTAGATTATTATTTTTTGAATGAATGAATGATTGTTTTATTCTGCAAGTGTATTAAATTGTTCAAAAGTGAAAATAAAGTTAATATTAAAAATATTAAGCAGCACAACTGTTTTCAACATTGATAATAATAATCAGAAATGTCTCTTGAGCAGCAAATCAGCATATTAGATCATGTGACACTGAAGACTGGAATAATGATGCTGGAAATTCAGCTTTGCATCACAGGAATAAATTACATTTTAAACTATATCACAATAGAAAACAGTTATTTTGAATTGTAATAATATTTCACAATATTAATGTTTTACTGTAGTTTTGATTAAATAAATGCAGCCTTGGTGAACATATAAGAGACTTCATTTAAAAACTTTTTTTTTTAAATGTACCAAACTGTTTGTCTATCAGACAGTAAAACTAATATTTTTGTAACTTGTTATTGTATTATCCAAAAAAAAAAAAAAAAAAAAAAAAACAAGTTCAGTCATTTTTTTGTATGACCTGACATGCTATGCATTGTTCATACAACAGTTAAGTAAATATTAACTTAGTAAACATTATTTTCATAATATGAGGTATTTCTGAGTGAAAGGATATTCAGCTTTTTTATACACTACGTTGGGATTGTTTAAGGTGAGTGTTGCTGTATTCCAATGGATCAAATGAGAGTTTGCTAAAAGAGGTTTAGCTATTGGTTAACATTATCTATAACTTGTGTGGCCAGTTCAGCGAAAGAGAAAGTTATTGCATTATGATTAATGATTACATATAGACATAAAGACAAATGTGTTTATAGTGAATAACATTCACTGATAAATCGTTCACAATCAGACCAGGAACATGCATTAAGAAAATAAATAGGGTCAATTTTAATTTCATGTTGAATTTAAACAGAGCTCTGTACACTTGAGTGAGGACTTGAATGATTCCCTCTCTTTTTCTATTGTCATCTAGTCATTGTGTTCATTAGTTACCATCAACACACACAGGCATAGTGTATGTCTCACATGCAAATGGGTCTTAGGACGCTGCTGTTATTTTTAGTAATAGGATTGGTTTGTCTTAAAGCTGCAGTCACATTAAAGATCTGTTCAAACATGTGACAGAACTACTGCTTTAAAAGCCAACGTTTCTTTGTTGCTTTGTATGTTATGTGTGACAACGCTTATAATTTCTGCTCTACTAGCATCACCAAACTGAAAGTACCAAACAGGTTTCCCATATCTGCCGCTGGTCAAATAAACCAACAGACTAGCCACTGATTGAGCCTGAAACAGAGCAATGTTTCACATGGGTCATATAATTGATTGTACACTTTAAGCTGGGATAGGAGAAAGTATTTTGTGCTACAACTTTGAAAGTATGACCTCAGTGTGGATGAGAGAGAGAGAGAGAGAGAGAGAGAGAGAGAGAGAGCATATGACTAATCCTCTTTGTTTCCTTTAGGGTGAGAAAGCACCTGGGCGATCAGGAAGTCGATCCAGCAATATATCTAAGGTAACACACCCACGCCATCATTATTCAAAGCAACCCTAACGACAAGAAAGTAAGTGTTTTGCACATGCATGTTACTGTGACCTGTGGTTTCAGGTGAGCACTTCCACCCCGGGAGCTGTGCTGAACAGCATCTCTCAAACGTCGGTTACACCCTCCTCCCAGGACATATGCAGGTGAGTGTGGTCATGGGCCGATGCTGCAGGACACCATGCTTGTGATTGGTGCTTTGCTCATCTACATGTTTGCACATCGTGTGATTTTATGGAATGAGTTCTGGAAGGTCAGTGTCTTTGAAGGTATATGCAGTGGAGACCAAAAGTCTGAGATCACAAGTTTGCAACGGTTATTTTTTTCCGTTTAAAACAACAACGGAAAATAAGCAGAGATTTTGAACAATGAAAAGAAATGTTTCGCAAAAAGCATAAAGATTATAATAAATTTAATGTATTTAACTATAAATTAATTAAATGAAAGACTACAAATAATGCAGTTTATAAAACAATTTGTATTACATTTTTTAAAAAATTATAAAATTAAATAACAAATACAAGGTAAAATAATGTAATCTATAAAATATTTTGTATTAAATTATGAAATTTAAATAAACTTAAATTATGAATTCAAAATAGAATAATATATATTTTTTTATTATTATTAAATTACATTAAGAATGCAAAACTGAATAGAATTCATTTTTAAACATTTGTATTAAATTAAATTAGAATGGGATAATATCATTTATAAAACATTTTGTATTCAATTAAATAATATGAACTTGAATATCATTTATTAATAAACATTTTGTATTCAATTAGAATAGATTAATATAATTTATAAAACATTTTGTATTCAATTATGAAATTTAAATTCAATTTCTGAATGCTAAATAGAATAATATTATTTATCCAAGTTTTGGCCTGAAAAACATTAATATTTAATGCACTAATAATTAAATATTAGGAGTGCAAAATAGAATATAATATGTTATGAAATATTTTGTATTAGATTAAGAACAAAGTAGGAAAATATAATTTGTTGTGAAATATTTTGTATTAAATTATTCCATTTAAATTAAATTATCAATGCAAAATCATTTATAAATCAGTGTGTATCAAATTAATTTTAGAATGCAAAATTAAAGAAATTGTTATGCACCTTTTTGTATTAAATTCAATTAATTAAAATTAAATGGAATAATTTAAATTAAATTCATTTAAATAAAAGTGATATCACTAGCAGTCTCAGACTTTTCTGTATCTATAAATGAATAGCTCTGTAGGTATGTAAAACGATTTGAAATTACACTATATGTTTCGAATGCAACATTTTCTTTTTGATTTTCTGTATTAAAATGATGATTGAACAGTGACAAGGCCAATAATAACTTCAACAGAAATTCAATTTTTATTTGTCCATTATGTTTTTCACTCATCAATCATTTCATGCTCTGTTGTGTCTTCATCTTTTTGATTTTATGTGTATGTGTGTATGTGTTGTGCAGCTCTAGTGGTCACGCTAAACTTGAAGTAGATGGCTCAGATCAGACTACACCCGTCATGCCCATAAACCCCGCCTCCGACCCCGTCCCCACCGCAAAGCGGCAAGTCAAACGGCGTATCCGGCGGCGACGGGAGAGCACCGGGACTGTTGGGTGTGCCACAGAGTGCGTGGACCAACCGAGACATTCACGGTTGCATAGGCAGACGCACACACACTCTGACTCATCCTCAGAGGACGAGCAGCGCTGGAGAGAAGCTCGCTCCTGGAGTCGCCAGAAAGCAAGACGGAGACGCAGCAGCAGCCAACACACGCAAGCGCATCCCCGTGAGGAACGGGACGCCACTAAGCTCATGTCTGTCAACTCAGACGAGGGACAGAAGGAGAACCAGCCGCCGTTGTGCAAGGGTCCCAACACCAGGGCCCACAAAAAGTTATCAAAAAGGGAGGAGCGTGGGGGCCAAAGCCAGGCAGCCAATCACACAAAAGGCAATGAGCGTAGTAGTAGGAGTGGAAGTGAGGAGGAAGAGCCTATTACAAAAACGTATGAGGAAAGAGGTTCAGGAGACCCAGACATGTCTGTCCCATCCCCTTTTAAATGCACTGTTCCTACCGATCATAATGGTGCCACGCAACAAGCATGCACTGATGATGAACTAGAGGTGTGCAGGTGAGAGAGAGAGCGAGGTAGAGATGGATGAGAGTCAGAGGTTGAACGAGCGAGAAGCTGATGTGATTTTGTTTGCGCAGGATCTGTCACTGTGAAGGAGACGAGGAGTGTGCGCTCATCACCCCTTGCCGCTGTACGGGAAGTTTGCGTTTTGTGCACCAGGGCTGCCTGCACCAGTGGATCAAGAGCTCCGATACACGCTGCTGTGAGCTGTGCAAATATGCCTTCATCATGGAGACACACCTCAAACCTTTGCGCAAGGTAACACACACATACACATATCTCTGAACAGCTCAGATCCTGTTTTATTAAACACCAGTGGCAGCTGGTGGGGAAGCACAGATGACAAAAATCGTGTACTCATTCATCCATATATATATAATATATATATATATATAGAGAGAGAGAGAGAAATTAAATCAGTACATAATTGCACAGGTGAATATATATATAGAGAGAGAGATTCACTAGTGTATCTATCTATCGAAGCTTCTTCTCAGACTATAAACAGTGAAATCAATTCCTCAGAAATGTATTTCTAACATTATTCAAGAAACAAGATGAACTGATTTTAATTAGCTGTTTGACTATCTTTTAAGTTTCAATTATTGGCTTTGTTGCAAAGTCCCACCTCTTTGAGAGCTCGTCCAATCATCAAACAGAGCACCCCGGCCATCTCTGAACAGCTCAGATCCTGTTTTATTAAACACCAGTGGCAGCTGGTGGGGAAGCACAGATGACAAAAATCGTGTACTCATTCATCCATATATATATAATATATATATAGAGAGAGAGAGAGAGAGAGAGAAATTAAATCAGTACATAATTGCACAGGTGAATATATATATATAGAGAGAGATTCACTAGTGTATCTATCTATCGAAGCTTCTTCTCAGACTATAAACAGTGAAATCAATTCCTCAGAAATGTATTTCTAACATTATTCAAGAAACAAGATGAACTGATTTTAATGAGCTGTTTGACTATCTTTTAAGTTTCAATTATTGGCTTTGTTGCAAAGTCCCACCTCTTTGAGAGCTCGTCCAATCATCAAACAGAGCACCCCGGCTTCCAGTTGGAAAATAAATACCCAGGTGCTTTTTCACTGATTTTTTTGTGAAGAAAAAATTAAATATTCATTAAACAAAAATAGAACATTATGCTAACTTTAACCAAAATTGAGATGTCAAATTTCAACTAAATTTTCCATTATCCCTCCCATCTTAACATTGAGTAATGTTCAAAAGTTTGGGGTCAGTATTTTTTTTCTGGTAAGAAATTAATACTTTTATTAAACAGAAATCATTTAGTTAAAATCGACAGTAAAGACATTTACAATGTTAGAAAAGGTTGCAAATAAATGCTGTTCTTTGGAACTTTCTATTCATCAAAGAAAAAAATCCACAAAAATATAATCAATATTATCTGTTTTTAACATAACAAGAAATGCTTCTTGAGCAGCAAATCATCATATTAAAATGATTTCTGAAGGATCGTGACACTGAAGCTCGGAGCGAATAAATAAAGAATAAATGAGAAATAAAATAGAAAAGTTCTATTTATTTCATAATATTGTACTGTATTTTTGATCATATAAATGCAGCCTTGTTGAGCATGACAGACCTTTTTCAAAAGCATAAAAAAATCGTACCAAACATAAACGGTTGAGTATATATTTAAACAGTAAAACCAATGTTTTATTAGTTTCAAAAACATTTCAAAAAATTCCAACCCCAACCCTTTGAATGGTAGTGCTTTCACTGATTTTTTTGTGAAGAAAAAATTAAATATTCATTTAACAAAAATAGAACATTATGCTAACTTTAACCAAAGTTGAGATGTCAAATTTCAACTAAATTTTCCATTATCCCTCCCATCTTAACATTGAGTACTGTTCAAAAGTTTGGGGTCAGTATTTTTTTTCTGGTAAGAAATTAATACTTTTATTAAACAGAAATCATTTAGTTAAAATCGACAGTAAAGACATTTACAATGTTAGAAAAGGTTGCAAATAAATGCTGTTCTTTGGAACTTTCTATTCATCAAAGAAAAAAATCCACAAAAATATAATCAATATTATCTGTTTTTAACATAACAAGAAATGCTTCTTGAGCAGCAAATCATCATATTAAAATGATTTCTGAAGGATCGTGACACTGAAGCTCGGAGCGAATAAATAAAGAATAAATGAGAAATAAAATAGAAAAGTTCTATTTATTTCATAATATTGTACTGTATTTTTGATCATATAAATGCAGCCTTGTTGAGCATGACAGACCTTTTTCAAAAGCATAAAAAAATCGTACCAAACATAAACGGTTGAGTATATATTTAAACAGTAAAACCAATGTTTTATTAGTTTCAAAAACATTTCAAAAAATTCCAACCCCAACCCTTTGAATGGTAGTGCATACATAAAATTTTAATTTGACAAGAATTTGACTCTTAATGATTATTTTAAAGGTGTGTGATTTGTGCATCATTATGATGTAAATACATTAATATGCTATAGGCCAGGCTTATGCAAAACTCAGTTTAATACAATATCTAATAGTTTTCCATCTCTTACCAAATGGTTTTGGCCTGAAAATCAGTTGAAGACACCTTCCATGAGACATTTCACAAATTCAAAATATAAATAAAATATCATTTTGTTCTGAACAAATATAATTGAAAAGCACATATAATTTACGCCTTCATCCCTGCTTCCCAAGCTTGATCATTACACCCTACTGTGCTGTTTCCATAGCGACGCAGTGTAGAGCACTACAATCTCTTTCATTGACTTTCATCATTTTAAAGCATATTTATAGAGCACAAAGCAATAATTAAAAAAAGAAAACTAGTTCATTTATGCCCATAGCAGAAATTATGATTGAGTTACACACCAACGTATAGTGATTAGGGGGTCATTCAAGAAGGAGTTTTTCATAATGAGCAATAATAGTAGGGATGCTTGCCTTAGTAAACACTGCTAATAAAATAAACTCAGGGTTTATTGTGCAGATTACTCTGAATGGGGAAATATTGTGAAGGTCAGCATGCACATAACCTAGTGCTGCTACATTGTGGCTAAAATAATAATTACAGGAAGGCAGTGCATTCATAAAGTCCTGTCTCTGCTTTAGTGGGAAAAGCTACAGATGTCTACAAGTGAGCGACGGAAGATCTTCTGCTCCGTGACGTTTCACCTGGCTGCTGTGGTGTGTGTCATCTGGTCACTCTATGTTCTGATTGACCGCACGACTGAAGAGATTCGCCAAGGCAAGAACAATGGTAAACACACTGACAAGCATAGGTTTAGTGTTTGCAAGAGGGCATGAGATGCAATGTAGTGTTATTCAGTATTGCTGTGTGATCCACTTATTATATCATTTAGTGTAGTACAGCTGGAATGTTGTATTGAACAATCAGAATCTAGTTTTGTAAGAGGATTATATTGTGGTGAATTGCAGTAGTGTTGTAAAGTAGCTTTGTATAAGCTCATATTAAGTACGTTTTTATTTTATTTCTAAAGAATCATCAGTACTTTTGACAAAATGTGTTTATAAAATCATGTACACTCACATGAAATGGGGGGGGGGGGGGGTCAACTAACTAATGCACATTATAAAAGAAACATGCAAAAATCAGTCCGTGCAATAAACCAGTGAATGTCTCAAACGGTTTCAAAGTCTCTGTTTATTTATGAACTAATGATACTGTTACCTGAGTGACTAAGTAACACCCTTCCTCACAACAACATATTTTTGCAAGAGGCTCAGTACACTCTGGTTACCATTAGGAAGCACTAGTAACACAAAGCAACGTCTTGCTCTTTCTGTGCTTACACAGCATGATGTCCATTCCTCTACAGTAAACTGTAGTAGAGCTGCAGGATTACTATAGCTCTGTATCAGAATTCCGAGATGCATCTTCCTTATTCTCTTCTTCCACGTGTTTATCTTGTGAAACTGCAGACACGGTGCTATCAGAGCCTTTGGCTGAAACATTTCTCATCTTAATGTTGGGGAGTTTCTTGAGGTCACCGGTCCACTCTCTATCAAACAAATGTGGCTCAAGGGTAGACGGATTTGATATGTTAAGGGTTGAACTTTACATCGCTAGTTCTTGCTATAAAAAGTTTTAAAGAACATACTTTTAAGCAGTAATTACCTGAATATTTTCAGATGCTTAGAGTTGATGATATCAGGGATTTCTGTAAGGTGAAAAAAGAAATAACTTTTAACCATATACAGCATGATGTTGCCTAAGGATAACAAAGATTAACAAGAACATTATGCATATAGAATGGCAATAAATGGTTAATAACGAAGGATGACTTTAATTAAACCAATACAACTCTTTGCATGGCTTGAGGAGGATGCACGCTCTAATGCACTCACCTTGGAAAAACAATTAGCTATGTGTGTATGTGCAGCTAGAAGTATTCAAGCAGGAAACATTTTATACAAGCATTCTTAGCACTGCTCACATAAAACTCTTAAATGGCAGGAAACAAAAAAAAGATAAAGGAGACCTATACAAAAGTATATATTGAATATTGGAAACATACCAAAGCCATTGCCTTCATACTGAGCTCTCTCTCGCTCCATTGTTTGTTTGATGATAGCTTCTCTAGAGCCATGCTGACGACCCTGTCGTCCTTTAATACTGTTCGCTAACTCAATCTTTTTTGTTCCGTGTATTATTGACTTTAGTCAGGAGTTCCGCTGGAATCGCATCTCATATATCAATATTCTTTATTCACACGATGAAACGATCAGAAAATAATGTTTTTGTCATGTATATCTTACAAACTTTCAAAATTACTTTATGACAATAGAAACAAGAAAAATCGATTTTGTTTTTGATATAAATGACTATTTAATATTATTTTAATATTGCATTTTGTGCATTGAATATAATTCAATGTACCTGTTGTCAATAAAAACGATTTAGCTTTTAATCTGGATTTTTTTTTTCGTATTTCACTCTGTCTCTTTTTTATTTTTTGGAATTTCTCTTTTTATTTTAATTTTATTTCATCATTTTTTCATTGATGTATTTTCTAGTCAGAAATATAATTCTATGTTATGGTTACATGGTTATAATTAATTTTATTCAGAAAGAGAGAGAAAGAGAACAATATGCATTGAATTGAACGAAAATTGAATATATTTAAACCATATTTAAACCATATTCTTTATTGATATCATCCGCTTAATTTAAACTGAATCAAATATTTTTAAATGTAAAAAACAAAAACAAATAGAACTAATAGAACTTTATAATTTTCCAACTGTACGGTTGTCTTTTATCTGCTTTAGCTGTTTTATATTTCTTTTACACTGAATTTTGTACTTTCAATATAATTCAATATACATCAATAAAAACAATTGAGCTTTTTATCCCCAATTTTTCCTATTTCACTTTTTATTTATTTATTAATTTTTGTTGTGCCAAATCGGTTGTACGGATCACTCTGCTGTGGCGACCCCTGATAAAATAAAGCAAGCCGAAAGAAGAGAGAGAGATTTTTATTTATGTTTTTTAATTTTCAATTCATTTCATCATATGTATATATATATATATATTATAGTTCGCAATTTCTTTCAGAAAGAGAACAATATTATGAATATAATATTTACAGAATATATTTAGACCATATTCTGTATTCACATAACCCGCTTAATTTATTAAACTGCATGTTATGCATTTTGAATGGTAAAAGCTAATCTACTGTCTCGAGATGGTCCTCACTGCAGAACACAAGATTCAGGGGGCGTGGTTGGATCCAGATCCAACTCCTCCCACCTTACATATACCTAAACCTACCCGTCTCCACCCCTGATCCATAAACATACCCATCTCCACCCCTAAACCTACCCATCTCTACCCCTAATCCTAGCCATCTCCACCCATAATCCTAGCCATCTCCAACCCTAATCCTACCCTTCTCCACCCCTAATCCTAGCCATCTCCACCCCTAAACCTACACATCTCCGCCCTAAACCTACCAATCTTCGCCCTAATCCAACCAATCTCCACCCCTAAACCTACCCATCTCCGCCCTAATCCTACCCATCTCCACCCCTAATCCAACCAATCTCCGCCCCAATACTACCCATCTCCACCCCTAATCCAACCAATCTCCGCCCCTAATCCTAGCCATCTCCACCCCTAAACCTACCCATCTCCGCCCTAAACCTACCAATCTTCGCCCCTAAATCTACCCATCTCCGCCCTAATCCAACCAATCTCCGCCCCTAAATCTACCCATCTCCGCCCTAATCCAACCAATCTCCACCCCTAAATCTACCCATCTCCGCCCTAATCCAACCAATCTCCGCCTCTAATCCTACCCATCTCCACCCCTAATCCAACCCATCTCCGCCCCTAATCCTACCCATCTCCGCCCTTAATCCAACCAATCTCCGCCTCTAATCCTACCCATCTCCACCCCTAATCCAACCCATCTCCGCCCCTAATCCTACCCATCTCCGCCCTTAATCCAACCAATCTCCGCCTCTAATCCTACCCATCTCCACCCCTAATCCAACCCATCTCCGCCCCTAATCCTACCCATCTCCGCCCTTAATCCAACCAATCTCCGCCTCTAATCCTACCCATCTCCACCCCTAATCCAACCAATCTCCACCCCAATCCTACCCATCTCCGCCCCTAATCCTACCCATCTCCGCCCCTAATCCTACCCATCTCCGCCCTTAATCCAACCAATCTCCGCCTCTAATCCTACCCATCTCCACCCCTAATCCAACCAATCTCCGCCCCTAATCCTACCCATCTCCCCCCCTAATCCAACCCATCTCCGCCCCTAATCCAACCAATCTCCGCCTCTAATCCTACCCATCTCCACCCCTAATCCAACCCATCTCCGCCCCTAATCCAACCAATCTCCGCCTCTAATCCTACCCATCTCCACCCCTAATCCAACCCATCTCCGCCCCTAATCCAACCAATCTCCGCCTCTAATCCTACCCATCTCCACCCCTAATCCAACCCATCTCCGCCCCTAATCCAACCAATCTCCGCCTCTAATCCTACCCATCTCCACCCCTAATCCAACCCATCTCCGCCCCTAATCCAACCAATCTCCGCCTCTAATCCTACCCATCTCCACCCCTAATCCAACCCATCTCCGCCCCTAATCCAACCAATCTCCGCCTCTAATCCTACCCATCTCCACCCCTAATCCAACCCATCTCCGCCCCTAATCCAACCAATCTCCGCCTCTAATCCTACCCATCTCCACCCCTAATCCAACCCATCTCCGCCCCTAATCCAACCAATCTCCGCCTCTAATCCTACCCATCTCCACCCCTAATCCAACCCATCTCCGCCCCTAATCCAACCAATCTCCGCCTCTAATCCTACCCATCTCCACCCCTAATCCAACCCATCTCCGCCCCTAATCCAACCAATCTCCGCCTCTAATCCTACCCATCTCCACCCCTAATCCAACCCATCTCCGCCCCTAATCCAACCAATCTCCGCCTCTAATCCTACCCATCTCCACCCCTAATCCAACCCATCTCCGCCCCTAATCCAACCAATCTCCGCCTCTAATCCTACCCATCTCCACCCCTAATCCAACCCATCTCCGCCCCTAATCCAACCAATCTCCGCCTCTAATCCTACCCATCTCCACCCCTAATCCAACCCATCTCCGCCCCTAATCCAACCAATCTCCGCCTCTAATCCTACCCATCTCCACCCCTAATCCAACCCATCTCCGCCCCTAATCCAACCAATCTCCGCCTCTAATCCTACCCATCTCCACCCCTAATCCAACCAATCTCCGCCCCTAATCCTACCCATCTCCACCCCTAAACCTACCCATCTCCACCCCTAATCCTACCCATCTCCGCCCTAAACCTACCCATCTCCACCCCAAATCCTACCCATCTCCGCCCTAACCCTAACCCTAACCCTAACCCTACCCATCTCCGCCCTAAACCTACCCATCTCCAACCCTAAACCTACCCATCTCCACCCCTAAACCTACCCATCTCCGCCCTAAACCTACCCATTTCCACCCCTAAACCTACCCATCTCCAACCCTAAACCTACCCATCTCCACCCCAAATCCTACCCATCTCCACCCCTAATCCTAGCCATCTCCACCCCTAGATGCTGATCCAACCACGCCCCCTGGAACTTGTGTTCTGCAGTGAGGGGCTACTGAATCTATGTGCAAATGACCAAAAAGAAGGAAGGAAAGGAAAACCCTGTGCTCGTTTAGCACGTTCCGCACGTGCCGCCTGTGAGTCCGCGTCCCCTCAGCAGAGAGCGCCCGCGGGTCACTGACAGTCTGTCGCAGCTCAGCTGGTGCATATGTCACATGACTCCAGCATGGATCTTCAGCAGAGACCTGGACACTCGCCCTGATGGGGAAACGAGAATCCCGGAGTGCGTGTTTGTGATAAACGGAGCGCGAGCATGCCGACGCTGCTGCAGAAGCTCTTCGGCAAGAGAGCCGTCGGTAACGGCAGCGCCCGGGACTGCTCTACGGCGGCGGAGCAGTGGTAAGAGCGCTAGCACGCGCACATACTACACCTATGAATATGCAGTCACGCGCTCTTCTTCACACCTGCACGCGCCAGTCTGTGCATGTAAATAAGATCGTGCCAGTCTGTGCGCTTTATATGACACTCACTTTTGTATTTTCCGCGGCAGACAGCTGTTGTTTTTTCTGCAAGAAAGACTAGGTGGTGCAAATACGTGCGAGTTTATGATCACCATTTTATTGTGTCATCGCTTGCAGGCCATCGAGTTACTACATCTATATGTGGAGTTCTGCGCAGCGCGCGTGCAGTCAGCTGAGCGCCAGTCCATGCGTTCTGTAACTCTTTCAGTGCATTTATGCTTGCACAATACTTGCAAGTTGTGACAGGTTTTTATTTTGAGAGTACAACAATTCTGCATTTATGGCTTCTGCATTTATGGCTTCTTTCCTCCTAGTCAGAGTGTGTGGAGAGGGGCTTTCTGGGAGAGTCACGTAGAAATGTCTAAATCTAATTTTATTTTTCTCGGTGTTTGCTCTCAACTGAAATTAGAAGAAAACATCTATATCAAAAAGCCATAGAAATATAATTTAGCACAAAAAAAGTGGTTTAGTGGCAATTTGTCCCATGTTAGAAGAAATCATGTAAACATGATTTAGGAATGAAAAAGTAAGTGTGTGTGTGTGTGTGTTTATACATACATGCACATACATATATATAATTTATTTGATAAAAAATGCAGTAAAAACTGCAAAATTGGGAAATATTATTACAATTTAAAATACATGTTTTTATGTTAATATATTGTAAATATAACTTATTCCTGTGATGCAAAGCTGAATTTTCAGCATCATTACACCAGTCTTCAGTGCCACATGTACAGTTGTGTTGCTTGTTTGTTTGTTTTTTGACACCTGTGATACTTTTTAGGATTCTTTGATGAATAAAAAGTAAAAAAAAAAAAAGAACTGCATTTACTTAAAATCTTTTGTAACGATATACACTACCGTTCAAAAGTTTGGGGTCAGTAAATGTTTTTTCTTTTCTTTAAGAAATTAATACTTTTATTCAGCAAGGATGTGTAAAATTGATTTAAAAAAAAGCGACAGTAAAGACTTCTATTGTTACAAAAGGTTTTTATTTTGAATAAATGCTGTTCTTTGTAGCTTTTTATTCATCAAAGAATCCTGAAAAAGTATCACAGGTTCCAAAAAAAAATATTAAGCAGCAAAAACTGTTTGATAATAAATCAGCATATTAGAATGATTTCTGAAGGATCATGTGACACTGAAGACTGGAGTAATGATGCTGAAAATTCAGCATTGATCACAGCAATAAATTATATTTTAAAGTATATTAAAATAGAGCACTGTTATTTTAAATTGTAATAATATTTCACAATATTATTTTTTTTCTGTATTTTTGATCAAATAAATGCAGCCTAGATGAGCATAAAAGACTTCTTTAAAAAGTAATAAAAATCTTACTTATCCCAAACTTTTGAACAGCAGTGTATATATATATATATATATATATATATATATATATATATGTGTGTGTGTGTGTGTGTTAAGTTTACAGGTTTTTTTTAGTGTTAAGGTCTTGATCACAAACCCTTGAATCTTCTAAAGAAATTAGTTCCTCTTTAAGTTTTTTAGTGTGACCAGAATATGCTTGCTTAATGCTTGCATGTGAATGAAAAGCCTTCTATTGCTTTTAGCTAAGCTACTTCCTTACTCTAAACTGCAATTACAATTCTTTGTTTAATAACTCATATTACACTTTCAAATCATTTGCATGATTTTATACATTGGCAATTGGCTAACCTACGTTTTCAAGCAGTAATGCGACATAATGGACACTTTCCAGAAACATGGTCACATGACGATTCAGCAGTTTCCTAGAAGGAAGTGACTCTGCTTACCCACTGATAATACATAAAACATTGATCTCAGTGTTAATTTGAAGTCACTGTTCAAAACTGATCTATTTGCAGAACTGATTTAGGCCAGAATCACTGGATTTATCAGAATATGGGATTTGAATGATCACTTTTACATGTGTGATCTGAGGGAATATATACTTTTACTGAAGAGCAAAGATCTTGATTATGTAAAAGAAATGTGAGCTCTCTGAGAAAGGAGCTCTTAAATTATAGATTTTTTAAAAAAAATTAAAGGGGTCATATGATGCGATTTAAATTTTTCCTTTCTCTTTGGAGTGTTACAAGCTCTCTTGGTGCATAAAGAAGATCTGTAAAGTTGCAAAGACTAAAGTCTCAAATCCAAAGAGATATTCTTTATAAAAGTTAAGAGTCGGCCACGCCTTCCTAAAACAGCTCGTTCTAACACGCCCCCACATGTCTACGTCACGATGTGGGAAAATTTGCATAACGCCGCCCAAATGTTCACGCAAAGAAAGAAGGCGTAACTTTGATTCTCGCTGTAGTATTGTTGTTGCCGTGTGTTTCGTTGTGAAAGCGAAACTACTTTGTTTGGTCTTCCTCCGCTCACTCTAGCCGCCGGCCTCCGCTCACCCAAGCTGCCAGCTCTTTTGGAAGGACACGACTAGAAATCAGTGGTTAAAGTCCCCATGAAATCAAAATTAAAGTTTTTTTGGGTGTTAGTATCAATATGTTAGTCTTAAGGTTATCTATAAGGCAGTGTGTTCCAAAACAGTGACAAAATTCGCATTTAGAAGATATAAGCATTCAAAGCTTTTAGTTCATCACTTCCGCCAAAACGTCTCAATGATTTTTTTGACGTCACATCGTACTTCATCTTCTCATCAAATCTTCTGACCAATCAAACTCTCTCTAGAAGCCGAAGCGCCTGCCCCCTACACTATAAATAGACGCTGAAGCTGCCGCTGAGATCGGTCGTTTGTTCACAGTGTAATGTTAGTATTTCCTGTACAGTGAGTGGCACGTAGTGTACAATGTAGGCGATAGGGAACGATTCAGACAGTGTAAATATGCTTTCGATTGGGGCAAATGAGGTCTGGTTTCACATTGTGTAACGCGAACCGCGGCAGCGCACACAGTCTGATCCAGACTTTGGCTCCGGTCCAGAGACGCGATCGCTCGGAGCGGATCATATGCACGAGTCGGCATATATTAAACAGTTTTAAAACTACACAGCCTCAGCATGATTATGATCACTATTTTGTTTTACTAAGAGTTTCATATTGAATCTAGGGCGTAATCTATTAGACTGTGGCTGTCAAATGCTGCTTTACTGAGCTCAACGGCTCTGAACTGTGCAGATATAAACAAAAAGCTATTGGCTAATTTAAAAGGGGGCGTGGCTGCTCAATATGTCCTGCCCTGTCTTCCTGTTTCAGTTGAAATTACGTCACCACATAGAATAACGCTGCGTGTTTGAAGGCACTTCAGGGGACCTTTAAGTTGTATTTACAACACTGTTCCAGAACAGTTCAACCCAAATATTCAGATGTGTGCAGCGCATTTTATGGAGGACAGTTTCCTGATCCTGGGAGAGTAGACTACAATGCTGGCTGTTCTGACTCACAGCCTGTAAGTACGTTTTCATTTAAAGGATTTGCCACTGACGATTCAAATGCGAGTTTTGAGCAGTGTAGAGTAGCTTTTGTTGTTTGTAATTTCTCCGATCACAAATGCAGACATGGTTTTATGTTTATGCGGCGATGCAACGCAAGCGTAAAAAGACAGTATAAGTCATTATAATCCATAATTATGTCCCCACTGGATGCAACGAATGCCTCGTTTATAATGAGTTTTAATGTTTTTGTCTCGTCGCTCCGGCCGGGACAAGGCATCACAGTATGGTAAGGGGCGTAACATTTCCATCACACACTTGAGGTATTCGGCCAATCACAACGCACTGGATAGCTGGCCAATCAGAGCACACCTTGCTTTTCAGACCGATGAGCTTTGTAAAAATCAACGCGTTTCAGAAAGGCGGGGCATAGAAGAAAACAATAATGTACAGTATGTGGAAAATAATGTGTTTTTTGAACCTCAAACCGCATAAACACATTTCATTACACCAAATACACAAAATAATGCTATTTTTAGCAACGTCATATGACATCTTTAAGTTTTTACATTAGAAATATAATTGTTGTTTGTGTGATTTATGTTTACTCAATTAAAGGAACTTGAGGGTTTTTAAGAAATGTGGAAAAGTACAATGAAATTTTTGTTTACTTTATGATGTGCTGCTGGTTATGTTAGTTTAGACTTCTGCTGACTCCTAGTCCATATTATTTATGTACTGTTATAGTATTTATTCATATTTAGAATGATCTTGTTTTAGTTTTCATTTTAGTTGCATTTTAGTTGCTTCTAAAATTTAAGGTTTTAGTAATTTTGTTGTGCTTTTGACATTTTTATCAGTTGTTTATATATGCTGTTTAGCTTATTCATTTTTAGTTTTATTAATTTTAGTACTTCAACTTATTTCACTTAGTTGCAAATGCAATATTTCTAATATTTCCTCAATATTTATAAATTAATAATTTAGTTTTTTAATAGTTGTTTAATGTAAGATTTATATTTTATTTCAGCTTTATTTTAATTACTGGAAACTTATAATAATATCATTAATAGTCTTAATGAAAACAACAGTGTTGTGCCATGTTATTTTGTACTTATTCTGGCACCTAGTCCGTGTTATTTTAATATTATTTATATATACCGTTACATTATTTATTCATGTTTCGATTTATAGTTTATTTTTATATTTTCAGTTTTCATTTTAGTTTTTAGTTTAAAGTATTATAATTTTGATGTGCTTTTGACATTTGTTTTTAATTATTTAAATTTAATTTTAATAGTTTAAATTTATTTTTATTTCAGTTTTACAAATTTTAGTACTTAAAAGTATTTATTTCTGTTAGTTGCCAGGGCAACAAACACATTTTTGTATCTAATATTTATAGTTTGCTTTATTTCAGCTTTATTTTAATTACCGAAAACAATTTCAATAGTTTTATAAACGATAACAACAGTGCACCTAGTGGCGTTAATACAGTATAGT